TGAATGGGCCTTGCCCCTTCCTGCACAGGCCACCTCTCTGGGCCGACACGGTCTTAGAACAAGCTTGTCAGAGCTTATCACCAAGCTGAAGCCTGTGTAGCAAACGGCAGGCACAGCAGAATGTTTTGGGGGACAATCTGCATGCAGCTCAGTCCTGTGCTTCCTTCTCCTCTGGCTGGCTGCCCCTTAACCCAGCTCCCCAAACATCAAACATTGGCCTGCAGGGCCTGTGCCACTTGGAGAGCCTAATGCGCAGCTGGGCTCAGTGCTCCCAGGTCTCTCCGTAAAATTGCCAAGGCATTTGCCCCACAGATAGCTAGGTGACCCCTGGATGGCCCCTTCTCTTTTCAGGTTTCTTAAATGTAAGCTAAGAGAGTTAGGGTCCATTCTTTGATGACAGAATGGATCCCTGTTTTCAGAAAGTAGAAAGCAGATAAGACTGCCTGGTTTTAAGAATCCTTAATTTCTTGTTGTCCCTAAGGCAGAACTGGGGGCATGAAGGTTACTCCCAAGCGCTCCATGCCTCTGGTCCCCACCACACAGGAGAGGAGTGCCTTCTGGTCCCATCCTTCCCTATAGGTCTCACAGATCTACTCCAAGAAGCAGGGCCAGCCCTATGGAGGCAGCTGGACCAACAAGGCATTGTCACTACCAGCTTAGCTCCACAGAGTGGGGGTACTGCAGGGCTCCTGAGCCTGACCAAGCAGCTTCCTGGCCCTGATACCCTCCCTGGCCCAGTGGTTCTTGGGCTCCAAGCCCCCATTAAGGAAAGAGCTTATTCATGGGCGGACTATCTTGGGTCTGACCCAGTTTCCTGACCCATTCTCTACTGCCCCACTGACTGCAAGAAGCCCTGGTCAGCCCCTGATTTCCTCCCACCGCTAGGGGGCTTTAAGAAACCTGGAGCTCCAGCCTCCTTTAGTGGGAGAGCCAGGCAAGGGCAGGACGGCACCTAACCTCAGGTGAAATATCCTGAGCTTCATGCCCACCCAAACTGGGGATGTGGGGGCAGTGAACTCTTTAATTATATAAAGGGGAAGCAGGCCCAAGACACCCTCTGGAGTAGAGAGTGAGGCCATCCCAGAAAATACCCTAGTTCCCGCCCCCGCCATTCCACAGTTCCTTGGTGCATGTATTGCACTGGCAAAGATTTTTCCCACACCCCCCCTGAGAGCAGGACACCTTACCCACTTCAACCCAAGTATTTTGGCTGGGCGGTCTTAGGGGGCAGGGCTGACCAAGAATCTGTGTGTAAATGTGAGGAGGGGGGTTCATATTGTCAGTGATGAGTGTGAGGGTGTTTACATGCATACAAGCACATACACACTCCTTATTCAATACCATGTATAGCAACTCATTACCCAGGACATGCAGAAACTGGCAGGGTATTTGCATCAAACTCTAAGTTGTATTTATAGTATACCCTGACAAACATAAATACATACATCCACATGGTCCAGCCATCTAGACCAGACTATATATGCTAAGGCATAATTGCTATATATCAGGAACTCTCTCAAATACTTTTGCTCTCACTTAGGGAATTCCTTAAATCATCTTCTCTAATAGAAACTAGAACGTGCAAAGGAGAGGAGAGAAAGGAAATGAGAGATGAAGAAAGTCAGCGATTGCCTCAAACTTTTAGCACTGGGGGAAATGACCAAACTATAGAGTTATGGAGAAACCCCTAGGGCTGGAATTAGAGACAGATGTCTTCCTGTGGGCATCCATTGGGAAGTGGGGGTATAATCTGTCTCCCTTCTGTGTGTGGGATCTCTCCTTCCATCCCTGTGTAGAGCAGGAATCCCTTACCGATTCTTTCATTTCATTCTCCATACTTGGCGAGACTGCCACTCAGCTTTGGGTGCCTCTTGCCTTTCAGCTCTTGGGGACAGAAAGAGACTGTCCTCCAGTGCTGCCCTGGGCCAACTTCCCCAACCTCCCTGAAGCCTCTGCCCTGGAGACTTTCCTCTTTTGCTTTCTCTGCTTGGGATAGCAGTTAGGGGGTGCCAAGGACCAACCCTGCAACAGACAGCCTCAACCAGCTCAAGCAAAGGCTCTATATGTATTCTTTGTTATCATTCAGCAAGCCAGGATTACATACCAAGGACGTAAGTGCACACATTACCAATGACTTATGAATGCAACACACACTGTGGTCTCAGTAAGCACTCCTTGAGTATTAGGCATATGGTTATTACAATGCCCAAGATATGTGCCCTCTCCGAAGGCGAACGACAGACATACACACCTCCCATCCTGTCGCCAGGACACGACTTATACTGTCCACACATATTTGCAGCAGGCATAGACTACACAGCTGCCCATGGGAGACATGTTCACACCACAGAAAGCACAGACAGACACACGCACAGCAGTCCACTTTCTTTTCCACAACTCCTCATAGTCAGACAATGGTGCAGTGGCTCACTAGACGCACCCAGATACTAGGCCTGACCAGTCTCTTGGGCTTCCCACGCCAGCTGAACCTCCCTCTCCAGCCTGCTCCTTCCCGCCCCCCCGGCATTGGCAGGCTCCAGTGGAGGTCGCAGGGTGATGCTCCTCAGAACAGCCTGGGCCTCATCCTCCACCTTCTAGCCTCCCCAGGGATACCCAAGGGAGGAAAAGTGTCCCGCGTCAGAGACACTTCCCCTTGGGCCCAACAACACATAACAGGGATCCCACCCTCATGATCCCACAGCATGACCACTAGTGTAGGATGAAGTGGGAGGCCTGCAGCCTTGGTCCCTGTCACCAGCTGGCCCTGACCCGCTGGTCAGCCTGGACCTGTGGCTCCTGCTGTCTAGGCTGAGTGGGGGCAGAGAGGGACACATGGCTGGAGTGGGGTCCAGCCCAAGCTGCACCGCAGTGGAGGGAAGAGCTGGCTGATACCTGTCATCTCATCACCAGACTGAAGGCCAACCACCCCTAATACCCCTTGAGCTCCCGGGACCGCAACATGGTCAAATGTCCGTGTGCCTGCGAGGAAGCACCCGTCTGAATTCGTTATTGGGAGAGTCTCAGTAGAAGAAAAGAAGGGAAAGAAAATAGATTTCTATAGCCACACAGTATGTTCATTCCTCTCTGATACTCCTATATCTCTCACACGTATCTCAAGGTAAATGAATTCTGATTATTAAAAAATAATAAGGCAATCAATGTAAGTCGCTCCTTACATTTGTGTAGAGGTTTGCAGCCTATAGAACATTTGCCCAAACAGGATTTTTATCTATTCGGAATAAACTCTCCTGGTTAGTATATTTGTCTGGAAAAATAGAAACGTATGAGTTCAATATAATGAACACACAGTCCATACACCTAGTACGACTGCGTAAGAGGTAAAATACAGACTTGAATAGATGCAAAAATCCAACAAATCCTACCTACGCCCAGCGCTTGTGAACGAACCACGACTCATAAAGTCTCTTTGATGACGTTAAATAGCCACTACAGACCAGCGATGACACAGAAAACAAACAATCCCCCGGAAAACAGCAGCAACAACAACCACAAACGCCCTCCACTCGGGCTGCCCTCAAACCCTTATTTATCTGAAAAATGATAAAACTTGGCTGGAAATCTCCCTCTTGTAACCAGCTGCTGAACAAACTTAGGCGAGGCAGAAATGATGTAAGTCCGTGTTAAAAGAAAGAACAAAAAATTTATTTGGGAATTGACAAGACGATAACAACAAACAAACAAAACAACAAAAGTGCTCTAGTTCTTTCTAGAAAATTTGGTCCTCCAAACGACACACTACGGAACAACCAGGTCTAGGGTTTTCGGGCCAGCCGGCTCCGGGCCACAAGCCCGCCTGGTCCGACTGCTGCCGCCTGGTCCGGCTGCTGCCAGGTTTCGCATTTCTCCTGCCCAAGGTGGGAGAAGCAAGACGTTTGCAAAACAAAAATCAGAGAGGACGAGCCGTCCCTGCAGCGTCCGCCAGGCAGGCAATGATCTCCCGGCACTCTGGGCTTGCATCGGAAGATCCGGGGAAATTTGTTTTTGATTTGTTTTTAGATAGATGGGGGGGGGAACCCCCCAAATTCGTAAAGGAAACCAACTTTTACTGAGTATATTCTCCTACCTCTCTGAACATAGCTTTTTGAAGGCCCGACAGGAATTCTACTTCAAATCTCCTGGAAGAGATTTTCATGTTTTGCTTTAGCAAACTCCAAGGCCACAATACTTCGCCGGTTTTCCCGGTTAGTTTTTTTTCCTTAAAAAAATATTTTAAAACGTCATCTAAAACAGCCCTCCCGATCTTTTGGGCGAAACATTAGCCAGCCGCCGCGGGCCAGGAGGTGCCCGAAGCGCCGAGACGGAGAGCGGAGGACACGCAGCCTGTCTCGGAGCGGGGATGTGCTGTAAACCCCAGCGCAGGCCGCCGAGCGAGGCAGCGGGGCTCCCCGCTCAGGCCCAACCCCCGCCCCATCCAGTGGGCCCCGGCAAGCGGCTTCTGAACCGCTCCAAGAGGGCTACGTGGAGGAAACACACGTTCGTCCCTTTCTCGGGCGGCGCGGGTCTCGTCGCCCGCCCGGACCCGCGCTTCCAGCCAAGGATTGCGCGGCAGCCCGGCGGGGAAAGCCGAGCGCGAGCGCACCGACCTGTGTGAGAAGGCCAAGAGGTCTGCACCGCCGACGCCCGGCTGCGCCTCGGCCCCGGCACTTCCTCTCCGCTCTGAATTTTGGCATGGGGTGTCCAGCCCGGACGCCGGGGCACCGGGAGGAGACGAGGCCTGCAGAAGGCGCGCGGAGAGGCGACCTGCAGGCCGGGGGAGCGAGAGGGAAGAGAGGGCAGGGAGGCGAGCAACAGGAGGAGAAGCGGAGGAGACAAAAGAGGGGCGAGAGGAGCTGAGGGGAGCGAGGAGGCGCAGAGGGCCTTGGACGCTGGCTCAGAAGATGGCCCCAGAGGGCGCGTGGTCCGGCCGGCGGCGGCTGCGGCTGCGACTGCGGCCGGCGTCGCACGTCCCTGCATCCTCAAAGCCGGCGTGCGCTGGGCTCTCAGAGATCGAGGCGCGAGTGCAGCGCGCCGGTCTTGCTGTCGTGGTCCCAGTAAGAGCAATGCATCATGGCGAGCTCGGGCTGCCGGGCGCAGGCGAACTGCAGGCCCGGCGCATTGGTGGGCGCGGGCGCCGGGGGCGCGGCGGTAGCCGGGCTGGCTGGGCTGAGCTGGCCCGGGGGCGGTGCTGCGGCCCCGTGGTGCGGCGGGGCAGGCGGGGGTGCGGCGGCCGCGTGCAGATGGTGTGCGTGCGGGTGTGAGTGGGGGTGAGGCGGCGGCGGGGGCGCGGTCGGCGGGCCTCCCAGGCCGTTGTACGAGTTCACCACACCGGGAGGCAGCGCCATGCTCTGCACGCGTGAGTACGGCCCATACGAGGCGGCCGGGCCAGCCAGCCCCTTGACCACCGCGGCCGCGCCCGGGCTGCCCGGGCCCGCGGCGGCAGCGGCCGCCGCCGCCGCCGCAGCGGCCGCCGCCATCTGGCAGGAGGCGTAGGGCATGGGTGAGGGCGGCTGCGGTAGCGGCCAGGAGTTGTTGAGGAAGCCGGACTGCAGGTACTTGGGGGGCGCCAGGTAGCCGTAGCCGTCGGCCCCCGCGCCCGCTACGCCGCAGCCGCCCGCGGCGCCTCCGGCCCCGAAGAGCCCCTTGCCGGGCTGGAAGTGCGCGGGCGGCGGCCGGAAGGGCCGCTTCATGCGGCGGCGGCGCCGGTAGTTGCCCTTCTCGAACATGTCCTCGCAGGCCGGGTCCAGCGTCCAGTAGTTGCCCTTGCGCTCGCCGCCGCCCTCGCGCGGCACCTTGATGAAGCACTCGTTGAGGCTGAGATTGTGGCGGATGCTATTCTGCCAGCCCTTCTTGTTCTTCTCGTAGAACGGGAACTTGGCGATAATGTACTGGTAGATGCCGGACAGAGTGAGCCTCTTCTCGGCGCTCTCGCGGATCGCCATGGCGATGAGCGCCACGTACGAGTACGGGGGCTTCTGAGCGGGGTCGGGCTTCTCCGGGGCTGTCCCGGGGCCGCCGCCGCCTCCTCCTCCCTTGCCGGGGCTCGGCGGCGGCGGCGCCTCTGGCTCCTTGGCTGCGCGGCCGGTCTCCGGGGCCAGCAGGGCCCCCGCGGTGTCCTCGGGCTCGGGGTAGCTGGCCATCATGACAAAGCCGGCGCGCCGCGGCCAGGCAGTCCCTGCTCTTTTCCCTTGGTGCTGGCGCTGCAGAGTCCGGGCGCACGAGTCCGCTCACGGCCGAGTCTCAAACTTCTGGAGACTGCGGATGCCGCCCGTGCTCGCTCGCCGGCGGCCTCTCGCTCCGCTCCTCTCCTCTTTCCCTTCCCCTAGGGAGAGGCCAGCGGGAGTGGAGCTCAGCCTCTGGCCATGGGGAGTCCGCCCAACAGAGAGGGGCTCCGGCCCCGCCGCCCCTCCCCGCCCAGGCCAGTCCCCGCCTCGGTGGGTTTTCTTTTCGGCGCTCTTCCCCTCCCCCCACCCTCCGGTTTCCCGAGGCACGACCCGCGTCTCTGGCGGAGCTGCCTCCTGGAGTCCCTAGTGCGCCAGGAGCCTCGCTCAGTTCTGATTCGTATGGGCTCCGCCGAGTTCCGCTTGCGTCAGGCGCCTTCGCCCCTATAGCGGGGCGGCCAGTCGCGCACGGGCGAGTTCATCTCCAAGTCACTTTTTGTAAACGCCCCGCGCAGCCCGAACCGGCCTGCCCCCTCCCAGCGAGCTGAGGGGGCCCGGCGGACGACCAGGCTCACGCTCTCGCAAGCCCTTGCAATTCGCGGGTGCTCGCTCAGCGGACTGGGCCGGGAGATGCCGAGGGCCCCGGCGGGGTCCGTCCGCACTCGGCCAGTGCCCAGGGAGCTCGGGCCCTAGCGAGGAGAGGCGCGCCAAGCCTCCTCGCGGCTTTCAGGTGAAAGAAAACGACTCCCCGGCTCTACCCTTTGCTGCGGTCTCGGCGTTAAACTTCTGGCTTGGGGCTGGGGGGAGGGGCGGGACGGCGAGGGGGCCGGACGGCGGTGGGGTGGAGAGAGCTGCGCGGTGGCTTTGGGAAAATCAGCCCAGAAACGCGTGTCACTGAACCAAGAAACCTCGGCCTGGCCTAGCCTGTCCGTCGCGCTTCCAGAGTGACTGGGCCGGATGGGGCTGGGGAGATGATGGGGAGGAGGCGCCCAGGAGCTCCGCCTGAAGCCCCTCTGCCCTTCCTTGCGCTGCCCCTGGACCTAGGGACCAGACCCCTCCTCAGAATCCGCGTTTTAATCCTACGAGTTGGATGTGTGCTTTAACAACACCAAGTAGACCCCACTCTAGTCCTGCTCCAACACGGGCGTTGCTGCGGGGCTTGGGGGGACTTCATTTGTGTGTGCACCGGTATTACGTATAGAAGTCACGGGGAGGGTCTGTTCTTGAGACACGTGAGATACCAGCTGCCCAGGTGCACATGTGCTGGTGCAGAAACACAGGTATGCACACGTACAAGGTGAGATTTATATTATGGGGTAAACATTTATACTTACGATATGTAATGGTACATGTGTGCCACCTATCAGTAAGTGTGGTTCTGGGATGTTGCATCTTCTTTCTTTTTCCTCTCTTTTCACTCTCCTCCCCTCTCTCCTTTCTTCCCTTTCCCCCTTTCTTTGTCAGTATTCTGTCACGGACTGGAAAGAAAAAAGAGAGGCTGTGAGGGACGCGTTTATTCAAATCTCTCTCCGGACAAGACATTTGTTCTGATCTTTCTCCAGGGCTGAGGGGTGAGTGCTCACCTACCTTCAGCAGAAGTCTGAATGGTTCCCAGTCACACCTGCATGCCCGGAGCCGGGAAATTAACGCTGTCAGGAAAGGCAGCTGTGCTTTTTAACAGCTAACTTAGCCTTAACAAAAGGTCTGCAATCTTAAAGTGTGAGAGAGATGCCCATCCGGTGTTTTGAATCTTCATGCCCCAAACTGCTTGGTACTGAGGGGGCCAGGATACTTTGGGGAGGAAGGTGGACTGAAGGGGTGTCATGCAGGGGTGTGTTTTATGTCTGGACTGGCATGGCCAGCGTGGCCGCCCCAGTGCTCATTACTACCACTTCCTCCTAGGCTGCCCCGTCTCTGAGGAAGCCTGAGGAGCCCTTAGTGGCCTATGGGCCCAGCACCCACGGCCACCTGCATGGGTTGCCTGCTTCCCACTCAGCTCTCTGATCTAGATTCAGAGATTAAAGGAAAGGAGGACAGGGTGATGGGGCTCTTTGGAATTCAGCATCTTGAAAATGACTCCAGAGAGGTCAGCAGGGCAGTCTGGTCTGACCATTACAGTAAGAGGGAACAGGGCTCTCCTAAACTCACCTCAGTAAATACCCTCCTCTACCCACCATTGAAAATATCTCAAAGTAGCTTGATTATTTTCTCCCGCTGCTCCCAGTATACACCGGGGTAAGCAGCACCTCTTCAAAAACCTCTGTGGCTGTCTCCCGAGCAGGAGTGCAGGTGCTTTTCTTCTTTCTCACCCCCATCCATGCCCAGGCAAGGGGTGGGAGTGGTGTGAGGTTTGGGGCTGCTGCAGATCGACCCTAGCGCCCATCCTCCCCCTGGCCTGGGCAGGGGAAAAAACAGCTGGGTCTGGCCCCAACCTGGGGTGTGTGTGTGTGTGCTCTCTCCTCTCCTCTCCTCTTTTTTTCTGACCACCCAGGCTGGCTCTCTGTCTCTCTCTCACCCTCACAGGCATTTCCGCTGCTGGCCTGCAGCAGCCAGGTGTAACAGCATTGTTTTGTGTGTCATCACTTCCCTGAATTCCAAACTCGGCTCCCTTTTCAGCCTTTAAAGAGAGAGAGAGAGAGAGAGAGAGAGAGAGAGAGAGAGGGAGAGAGAGAGAGAGTGTGTGTGTGTGTAGGAGGTGGGGGTAAAGGAAAGGAGTTCCTCTAAAGGATTTTCTGAGTGGACAGGTCCTGCTCCTTTCAGGTATTGATCTCTCCAGGAAGCAGTGGGGCGCGCCTTGGTTTACTTCTCAACCCTCTAGGGCCGGCTGGGTAGGGCCCCGCTTCCTGGCTCGGTCGGGATCCCGTCCGGCAGGCAGACCGCGTCGAGGCTCGTGGCGGGGGGGGGGGGGGGCATCCTCTCTCCCCGCGGCATTGCGGCGACGCCGAGCCCCAGCTCAGTGACCTCGGGGCGGTGCCCACCTCCGAGGGCCGGGCGGAGCTCCTAGCCTCTCCGCCCGGTTTTCCCGGGGCCTGCAGCTGCAGCTCAGGAGCCGCCAGTGCCTTCTGCCCGTCCTCCCGCGCGGGCGCCGCGGGCTGACACGGTGCGGGAGACCAGCCGACGGGGCGCGGCCCGGCTTCCGCGCCTGCCCCGCGCCGGCGAGGCCCCGACAGCCGCCGCGAGCAATTCACTCGGCCCTGAGGAAGGGATGGAGGGAGACGCTTCTGTCCCCACCGCCGGGAATCCTTCAACAGGCGCCGAAGCGGCCGCGCCTCTCGGGATCCCGAAAGCCGGGTCCTGCCAGGTGAGCGGCCCAGCGGCCCCGACGCGGGCAGCGCTTCCCGGGGCACGAGTCGCCTGGCCCCACAACGCCGCCGGCTGCTCGAACCAGGTCCGTGGTGTCCTTTCCTGGCGGGGCCCCGAAATACCCACGGGCTTCCCGCCCTGCGCAAAGATAGAGGACCTGAGCCTGCTGCAGCCCTCTTGTTGCGGGTACGGCCTCTGCGGCGCGCGCGGCGGGAAAAGGGAAGCCTGGATGCGTTCCTTAGCACATCACTACCCGTATGCACACCTCAACGGTCAGCACTACTCCCAGCTCCTCCTGCACCCCCATGGACGCCAGGTCTCTCTACCCCCCTCATATTCCTCCATCCACTTCTCTCCAGTCAACCCTGTATCCCCTCCAGTTCTCCTTTTCCCCACTACCCTCACACACTCACCTGTTACATATACTAGTTCAGATCCTGCACATTTTGGTGGAAAACGTGTCACTCTGATGCCCGGACTTTAAGCCTCTTTACACACTCGGGCACTCAGCTATCTCAAGACACAGAGTGACCTCTTGTCTGCAAGTCTGACTCCCGGAAGCCTGTTGATTCTTTGATGTCTTTGGCCCAGGGTTAGGGTGACTGGGCTGCCACCTGGATGTTCCCTTGGTGAGGTTGCTGCTCAGAGTTCTTTGGGAAGCTCAGGTACAGAACATATCCCTGAGACACTTTAACACACACAGACCACTCACAGGCTTCCTCTCTGTTTTGTAGCTGAACTCCCTGCCACTCCGACAGGCTGCAGCCTCGAGTGGGTGCTTGGTTCTTCTGCACCTACCCACACAGCGCCAGGCCCCAGACCAGCCGGTATTATTCTGCCTGGTTGGGATTAGCAGAGACACTTACCCAAATATGTGCTTGGGAGAAAGAGTGAGAGAGAATAGGGAAGTGGAGAGGGGGGAGAGAGAGAGAGAGAGAGAGAGAGAGAGGAGAAACCACTATCCATTATGGGGAAGAACTCACAGATGAGAGCTGTTTCCAGTTGGTATCTTAGTGAATTCTACTGCCCACACCCTGTGGGTGGCTGGGCTGGGAGGTAGTAGGTTAGAGTTCTGGGCTCCTCTGTACCTCACTGATGTTGGGCCTCAAGTTCACGATCACCTCTTTGCCCCAAGGAGTGTGTGCCTTACCCTTACCAGGCAGACTGCAGGGCAGTTGTAGGCATTTCTCCCGGTTGAGCCTAACTCAGGGAGAAAAGGCAGGCGGGCCTGGTTCCTGGGCAATGTGGGAACTTCCCTCTTCAAAGACTTTTGGGATGCTCCCGGAGAGACAATTCTAGGGTGGCAGGAACTGCTGACCAGCTTCCTTTGGTATCCCATGGCCATAACTCCCATGTCCCAAAGCCATTTTCTTCAGCCCTCACCCTGCCACTAGGCGCCCCCACCCCATGCTTGAGAGCGTGATATGTTGTTGTTCCCAAAGTTGCCTTGTTGCCTTTCTCCACACCCAGACAGTAAGTCTTGATGGGTAGAGACTCTGTCCTCAAATTGTCACTCAGTGCTTCCCACTGAGTGGGATTGACTTAATGCATTCTAATGGCATTGGAAAGTGCCTCCACTCCACAGAGAGAATTGAGAGATACCCCTTTCCCTGTCATAAAGCTGGAATTTCCAACAAAGGGGCTGCAGGTGGGGAAGAGTGGCCAGCTCAGGATCTGAG